GTTCTTGAAAACATTTCCTACTATTTATGATTTTACTTTTCATTTTTCTGTCCTTGCTTTTTGTGTTACAGTAAGGTTTTTCCTATGTTTTCTTCCTTAAAAATTTTGGAGTGCTTCATTTTTTTTTTTAATATTTTTCATGTAGGTGTATGTGCCAAAAATGACATTTAATACTTCTTGTCTTAGAAAAAGTTACATGTATTTTTCTTTCCTTCCCCCCAGTAAATGTTTGTGATCCTGTTGTATGCCGTGCATTGAGCTAGGCACTAGGGCACACCGATGAATAAAACAGTTATGGTCCCTGTTCTTAATATGGAGATTCATTTAGTGATGAAGATAGTAAACAATATATGAATACAGTAGATAAAAATCTCATGAATGCTGTGGAAGAAACAAAAATAAGAAGATGGAGAGAATAACATGAAAAGGCCTATTTTAGGTAGGATGGCTGGGGAAGGCAATGCAGATAGAACATTTTAAGGAGAGTTGAAGTCTGGGAGAAAGAAAATTTGGGCATAGGTATTGAGGTGAATTTGGGGCAGCTGACTTGAAACTGAGATAAGATTAGGGCAAAGTTAAGTTGGGAGAGAGAGAGGGAGAGTAAAATGCAGGTCCTTACTGGTTTTTAGGTATATGATTTTATTCTAAGTGCACAAAGAAGGAAAGTTTTGCACCTGAGCAGGTAATGATTGAAGGATATAAACACAGAAGTGAGAAATCAGTTGGGAGGCTGCCATACTAGGCGAGGAGAGATTGTTGCTCCCTTGAAACAATGTAGGGACTTTAGACTGATTCAAGAAATATATCAGAGGTAGGATGAAAAGAGCTTGTAAATAGGTAGGGTGTGTAAGCACGTTGAGGAAGGAGGAAGAATCAATAATGACATCAAGATTTCAGGACTGATAAAGGAGGCAGAGATTAAAGTCATTTACTGAAGATCCGAGGACAGCAGGAGTCTTTCTTGGGAAGGCTATGTTTTGGATTTATGTTTGAAACCCAAATGAAGAAATTATATAATCATGTGGATATATGCATCTGTTTTTCAAAGAAGAGGTTTCAGTTGGAGATATAAATATGGGACATTTTGGTAAAAAATGGAATTTAAACCATGGAGTGGATGAAATAATTTGACAGTATACAGTATTCAAAAAGCTGGGAGCGAACTTGATGCTCTCCATCATTTAGATATTGAGATAAGGAGAGAGATAAACTATTCGAGAGGAAAACCATGGGCATGCAGTGTCAGGAACAAATAAGAAAATGTTTCCAGGAGGAAAGGTGTGCTCCACTGTGCACAGTGCTTCTAGAGATAATGGATAATTTGAAAATGATGTTTGCTTATCAGGCTTAACAACATGAAAACCTTTGGAGTTTTTCCCAAGGTAGAGTGGTGGGCAGATACTGAGTGGAATGGGACGATGAGCAAAATGGAGTTTGCGAGAAAGGCAGCTAATAAGAAAAGGGGCCTTTATGAAAAGGTGTTGAGAGAGTTTAACCAAAAGAATACAGCCTTTGAGCTTCTGAGAAAAATATGTTTGGAACTCACCAGGAGAGTGTATGCCTTTGAAGTGGGGAGGGGAAGGCACACGTATTTTCATTTGTAACAGGAAAGAGAAAGATACTTAGATTCAGTTTTATTTTAGTGATGCCAGACCCAGCTGTCTTACCTGGAACAAATAATGATGTAATATGTTTCTGGATTTTTGCTGTAGATGCACACTGATTGATTTTACTCATAAAACTAAATGGGTACTCCTTCTATTTTGCCTGGTAATAGGTTCTGAATTTTCTTTCTCAAAGTCTTTGTTATCAGTGTTTTTTTGCTCAGTTTTCTCTTTTGCCAAAAGCAGAGTAAATCAAATATCATGACCTCCTTCCCCAGTCTTCAGCATTTTCAACACCGTGGCCTCCCTAAGAACTGATTAGCAAATCAAAGAATAAAGTGGTTTTCTCACAAGCGATTTTCTTGCCCTGCAGAAAATTGTCTTTTTCAATATTACCATCAGAATTCTTTGACTTGTCAGTATAATTGAAACATTATCTATGATTTCTATTACTTTAATGCAGGTTTTGAGCACATCCTTTTAAGGTCATAGCACTCTTTCATGTTTTTGAATTTGCTTATGAGGTATATGTATTTGATGAATTTTAGCTGTTTGGAGGGAAATTTTATTCCACTTCATAATATTGTTTAAAAAATAATTTTCATTAGTCCATTATGGCAACATATCCCTGGGCCACAATTTTCTCCGTGGACTTAAAATTCAGTACAGAATTTTAGGTCCTGATCATTAATTGTATCTTTAAAGTTGCAATGTGATTGAAAGTCATCTTTAGTGCCAGCAGGGTTCTCTTTCATAAAACCTCCATCTCCTCTGTTTATTTTGAATAATACTTTCATTTATGGGTTATGGGACCATAGTAAAAATACTCCCAGAAGGTCTCCTCTCTTTTCTCAGTGTGTGCTTGCCAAGCCATAGGTGGCTTTACTGTGTGCATAGCTCCAAAATCAGCTTTTTCTGAAAATACAGGAAGAGCTGAAGAAATGTGTGCACATATATTAATTTATACACTGGAAGTTTCTGACAAAGGCATTTTTAGAAAAAACTCTAGGATGATGGGATTTTATACTAAGCTAAGGTTTTATTTTATTTTATGGAGGTATGTAGTTTTACTTACAGGCATTACCAGTCAACATGTTCTAATTCTGCTTAAAATTAGAGGAACTTGATTTATTGTTCTCACCTGCTGCGGTAGAAATTTCAAGCATCACCGGAGTAGACTAACTTCTTCAGTACTGGAAATATTCAACAATATTCATCAAATGTGAATTCAGAAAGCTGCGGTCTGGTAGTATTGTGGTAATGAGGGAGGAAAAGTTTTCCCTTTATTTCAGACAGGCTATGATTGCATGTCTGTTTAGGAAAATACATACAGATTAAGCTGTGTGCCTGACTTTTTTGGGTGAACTTGGGGTATGCCAAGGGCTCCCTTTGGCCTTTCCATTGAAAACCACTCAGTCAACATCCTGTGTATTTATAAAGAAGGGTTTGGAGTCGGATGTTGCCCAGCACCTTTGTGATCTGGACTCTGCATGCTCAAGTTTCTCTTCGAGACCTGAGTCAGTGCTATAATTATCTCTCAAATTTCTCTTGTTTTGTCCTTTTTAGAATATTCATTCTAGATGCATATTCTTTTTCTTCCTTTTCACTAGGGGAAATGGGGCTTGTCTTAAGGTAAGTTCTCTGCTAAAATCTTGCATTTTCTGTTCCAGTGTGTGCGGATGAACAGGCTTCAGAGTTTTACTTTGTAGCGACATCCCACACTACTGTAGTTGATGACAGTTGTCATAAAAGAGTGCAGTTTTGATGTGTGGGGAGCTGCTCCTGCCACATGCCTCTAAGCGGAGAGACCTGGGAGGGCTCCTTTCACGTGGTCATCTTGCGCTCCTTGCCTCTCCGACATCTAGGCTTTGGGTACTCATCCCATATTGTCTCCTCCCCCTCTTCCTTCCCACAGACATCATTTGCTACTGATTTGCTTTTAAATTTGGCACCTTATTTTCTGATTCCAAAATATCTTCTGTGGTCCCTTCCGTCTTTAGTCAGTTTCACACAGTTTACTAAAATTGTAATTTCTTTAAAAATTCTCTTTGTAACCATCAACCTGTTGACTTCTCCCCTGCCCTCGTTGAATTGGCCTATACTCTGTGAATAGAATTCTTGTTTCTCCTGGCCTCCCTGTTATAAAATCAACAAACACTCGTAACAGACTAAAGAACAGTATATTCATAAATATCATAATCAGTTTTTACCATGTCTGGGATAGCCTTCCATATGTATATTTTTTTCAAAAGGGGATCATGTCATACATTTTTTTTATACATACTATATTTAAACTGCTTTTACTCCACTGTAATGCCTGAAAGTCCCTTCCTATATATTCATTTTTGGAGAATTTTTAGTTCTATATTTTCAGTGGCTAAAAACTTTCATCTTACAGATGACCAGTTCTTTACTTGGGGCATTTAAGGGTTTACTTATGTCTTTTTCCTTCCTCTTCCATTCTGTTTACCTGTTATATACTCTTGGTAGATTTTTTTGTTCTTGACAGTTCAGAGTTGTTTGTTCACTATGCATATGGTTTCTTTATTAAATCTTAATGTAGACACGTTGGTTTATTAAACTTAATGTATGCCTTTTGGGGCTAGTTATATTGTCACCATGTGTGTTCAGACCAAATCTTATGCATCTACTATGTATTTGGGGCCTGGGATATAGGAGTGGACAAGACAAAGATCGTCTTGCTCTCATAACTGAGGTGCTAGTCTATATGATGAGGTTTATGTTATATAGGTGCAAGCCTCTTACGTGAGGATCAACGAAGACACCTAAATGTAATACAGTGCAGTGGAAGCAGTCTAAATGACCAAAAGTTCAGTTACTTGGGGGATGTTCATGCTAGTCTTTTTCATGCATATAGTTATATTTAAGAGTTGACTAATTGGTTTTTCTACAGATGATATTTCTTTTTTAGGATTTTTGCTAGAGTTGCTGACTTAATGGAATGATCTTTTTCAGCTTCATACATTTTGAACCTTCTGAGTAACTAGAATCAATTATACTTAATTTAAAATTATATACCTTTCAGCCTGCCATATACTATGTTATTATTCTTATTGATCTTAGAGACCCAAAAATATTTTCAGGCTAAGTTTTGGATAATAGGAAATATATCTCTAAATTTTTTGGTCCTTCTGTTGCATATTTTATAATATGATTAAAGAGAGATTGCAACCATGGAGAAAATTTTCTGCTGTAAATTGATGTTTCAACCCTGCCAGCTGCTCATGATTTTTTTGATCCCCCTTATCAAAGTGGAAAGTGAAGGGTAGTGGCTGCCCTCACGGGCAGGTATATAATTTAAAAAAACAAAAAAAGTGTGTGTCTCAGCAGAGCTATATTAGTTTCATATAGCTGCCTTTCTCTTTTTTATTGTAGGGCCAGCTATCAATGTTGCAAGAAAAAATAGACCATTTGGAGCGTTTGCTAGCTGAGAATAATGAGATCATCTCAAATATTAGAGACTCGGTCATCAATTTGAGTGAGTCTGTGGAAGACGGTCCGAAAAGTTCACAAGGCAATTTCAGCCAAGATGCTGGCTCACCTTTTCTGCCATCGAAACACTTGGCTCTCACAGTTGACCCTGAAGACTGCCTATTTGCTTCACAAAGTGGAAATCAGAATTCAGATGTGCAGGTAATATATACATTTGTTAATGACTGAACTTTTTTAATTTGTTGGGTTTTTTTTTTTTTAATTTGATGTCTGTATTAACGCAATACGTTTCTTAAACTTTCTGGATTCTAGTTTCTATTTTTGATTAATCACATCATCATTATTGTTCTTTTTAATGATAAAATTCCAGAATTCTGTTTCCCTCAATTTTTAAAATTATTTTATAGGTTGTTAATATGACCTTTTAAGGTGTGCTTTCTAGATCTTTTTTTCTGTACTAGTTGAAGAGTACTTTAAATTTAGCTAAAGAGATTTTCTTATCTTTGGAGAGTAAAGGAAAAACTACTCTTTCTAATGTAAGCTATACATTATAAGTTTCACACAGTATAGGGTTATATTCTTTTTGCTGTACATCTCTTTATGGGAGGTGTAGGGTAAGTGAAAAAGTATCAGGCTTTTCCACCCTCCTGCCATTCAGATTGATGATGGATCCTTGCAGTCCTGAATGCATGCCTGATGGCGGGCACCTGGAATAGGGTGTGGGCATAGGTAGATTGGATTCACCTGGGCCAAGACTTGGCTTTTAAGGGCTCCAGCATAAGCAGAGAGATCGAGAGCGAAAAGAGTGAAAGAGAGAGCTAAAGAGAAGCAGAGACCAACAGAGAATGCCGGAGAGCCCAGAAAGAGTGAAGACTTGCTGGGGGCTGGGAGGCCTGCCAGCCTCCTGGCACCCCAGCACCGCTGCCTGCTGTGTACCCAGTAAAATCCCAATAAAAGCCTGAAAAGCCACTAAGGGCTCCAGGACTCCTCCTTTACCCCATCTGCTCGGATCATAGAAAACCTGCCCTGTGTCATCCTGCCCCTACAGGAGGGGAGGGCATATTTTAGAACTGTGCTGTCTGGTACTGAAACCACAGTTCACATGTGGTTACTGAGCTCTTGATTTGTGGCTGATTTGAATTGAGATGTGCTCCGAGTGTAAATAAACATACAATGTTTGGAGACTTAGTGAAAAAAGAATGTAAAACATTTTATCATTTTTATTTGGATTGCATGCTGAGATGATAATATTTTTAATATGCTGGGTTAAATAAAATATTGTTAAAGTTAATTTCACTTATTAGAAAATTCTAGATTTTTATATTTGACTTGCATTATATTTCTCTTGGACAGGGCTGTTCTAGAGGATAGTGGAGGTGAAAACTAGGGTCAGAACGGATATCTGCCTTTCTTAAAATTAGGGTATGTCGCTTATATTTGCTCTGTTTTTACAAATTAGCAGAGAGCTATGTTTAATCTTACACCCTACACCAAAAGGTGGAGGGAGGACTCTATGTATGACCATTTTAAAGTTGCACAAAATGATTTGGTTGTGGCCTGCTTCAGTGTAGAAGTTTTCACTAAATCCTGGGAACAAGACCATGGATCTCCAGACCAAACCAGAAGCCTGGAACAGTGGCACTGGCCTGTCCTTGCACCTACAGCCTTATCAGCTACTGTGTGTGAAGTTCAAGTTAGTTTTGACTTGTTTCCATTTTAATTAAGTCCCTTTTAAAGGGGGGCAACAAACTTATTTATTTTTGGTCAAACTTTGAGCTGGACAGAAAGGAGTGGCAGAGCAACCAAGGGAGGCAGGCAGAGAGGGCCAGCAGGATGCCAGGAGAGATGCAGTGTCAAAGGAAGAAAGAAGAATAACAGAGTCTGTTAACAGGTCCTGCTGCCCACCTGGTTTCCAAAGATTTGTCAGCTCATCCTTGGGTTTTATTTAAAGTCATAAATTCTGAAGTGAGAATTAAGTTAATGCCTTAAAATACCTTGTGTTCTCTTTTGTATAATTTGCTTGATATCATAAATATTTCTGTAACCCATTTATTTATTAATTACATAATTTACATAATTTTTACATAATTTAAAATTACCAAAAAGTGGTAGTGTTCTTGCCACATTAAGTATTACACAGAGTATGAAGAATACAATCTTTTAGCTTCTTTTGTAATTTTTCCATTGTTTCCAAATTACTATCTAGAAAGGAATATTTCATTATAACCTCAGAAAGTGGTTATAATGCTAAATATCAATTAAAAGCTAAATATCAATTAAAATTTTTTTCATTTTTAAATGATTACCTGGTTTACCCTGTTATATTTTTTATTTTTAGAGTAAGACAAGGTAAACATAACATGTTGAATGAAAGAATAACTATAGACACATTTCCATTCTGATACAGATTTTAAAATCGATGAGATTGATTGTAAAATAAAGATATCTCAAGTTAAATAATCACTTTTAGTACTGTTTGGAAAAAGCTGAATTTTTTTTTTTTTTTTTTTTTGGTTTGCTCTGCAGTTCCTATCAAATTTCTATTAAATTGTATTGGAAGTAGAACAGGGGAGGAAGGAGTTGATATTATTTTTTATTAGACGCAGATGGGGAGGAAATTGTCAGGATAGTTATGTAACATAAATAGCACTAAAACCTTTGAATGATTAAATGTTTTCTGCCTTAAACATTTCAGTTGCCCACAGAAATAGTTTTAGACTGTAAAATATACACACAATACAGTTATAAGTGGTTTTGAGAAAATATTTTCCAACATAGTTTAATAATGGTTATACATGTTCAAACTTTTTTCCCCATTATCTTTTGTGTTTTTAGATGTTGGATGTTTATAGCCTAATTCCTTTTGACAATCCAGATGGTGGAGTTTGGAAGCAAGGATTTGACATTACCTATCAATCAAATGAATGGGACACTAAGCCCCTGCAAGTGTTTGTGGTGCCTCATTCCCATAATGACCCAGGTAAAGTCTGTACTTCAAAAACCTAGAGGTTATTAAGTTCCTGTAGTCACAGAGTTTTTTAATGATAATCTGATAGGACCCACTTCCCAACTTCTAACAGTAACGTAGTCCTTTTCTGTGTCATTGTGTTTTGAGTTCTCATTTTATTAATTTATGTGCTATTTAAGCACAGTACTTGTGCAGTATGAAATAGTAATAAATGCAAGAAGGTATTAGCTTTGGAGTGTGAAAACTTGCATGTATGTAAGGTACTGAGAGTTAATTTTAGTTACTGCTTATAAAATACTGTGTGAGTAAATTATTTTGGTTCCATAAACTCATATTTAACAAAAAGGCATAGTGCTTATGGGGGAGTTTAAATATTTAAAATGGACAAGCAATATAAAGTGATTAAGAGCCTTAGTGTCAGGTACACATGGGTGTGAGTTGCAAATCCATTAGTGTAAGACAACTTAAGGCAATTTACTTAATTTGCGACTACATTTTTACCTTGGTAGAATCTGGTAGAATAAAGTATCTCTTCATAAGGTGAAATATCAAGGCATAGTGTATGGCTTAAAACTAATTGCCATTGTTATTATTGATTGCTATAGTTATTTAATATGATAACTTTAGTTATTTTTTGGAGCCAGAGGTTTTTCCCTCAAGGTAGAGGAAAATTGCTAAAATTGTAATGGGGAATGTGTTATATAAACTTGTTAATGTGAGCACACAAGTACAGAGAAAATTCTCAATGATCTGCTGCAGGATTTTTCTGAATATACTTTCAAAGACTTCTTTTGAAGGACTTGTTTTATGCTTCTGTTACAGGGCAAACCCTGATATAAAATGGGATTTCCTGACTGTGGGTCCTCACCCCTGCGCTTAAAGGGGACTTATTAATGCTAAACTGCAGACATACACAAAAGGTTGATAAAAGGTTTATTTACAAGGGAAGGGGAAATGGGAAATGAATAACTCAGGGAGAAAAAGAGGAGATAAGTTTGTAAATATGTCCTACCTGTTCCTGGAATCCAAATTACCCACCGAGCTGGCAAAAACCTAGCATGCCTCATGGTCAAGAGGGCGACCACCCCCTCTCCCCCAACCATGGTCAGTTAAATACCCAAATCGAGAGCCTAGTTGCTTAACTCCGCCCTTAGGTCCTCGCAACCTTCCCTTTGGTGATCATGGGATTTGTAGTTCACAGTGTCGTGGGGGTGGAGTCCACAAAGCCTGTATGGAGTATGCTCAGGACATCCTTCACCCCATCACTTCTACTTGTTCTTTTTCTCATTTTCATCATTATAGTTAGAGATATCACTACTCACCTAGTAATTTGATTTTTTTTTCCCCCTCCAACATTCATTTATCTCCTACTTAAATTCTTTCCCTTAGTCTTTTGGCATGAACTTCTCTTTTTCTAAGGCAGAACTTGTTACTTTATATCTGGACATATGATTTGGTGGTATGTGTGTGTGTTGCTGCTTTTGGGTATGAGAGTCTGGGAGATAAAACTTGTATGCTGAAATGTGTGAATTTACAGGGTACTTTGATATTTAGTACACACAGAGGTATAAAATAAATGACATCAATATTTTAGAAATTGGTGATGAGCAGTTACCACTTATCAACATCTGACTTGATGTCTCTGTGTCCAGTCTTGATGTCTTTATCCTTTCTTACAAATATCATACTTAGTCTTTTTTTTTTTAACATGTATTTTTTTGTGCATACAAAAACTGGGGTACAGGCCAAAGGTGTGGGTAGGGGTGAACGGATTCACCAAAGACAGAGTGGGGAGCAGAACAGGCGATCTACTGAAATACACTACTGAGGGGAGCAGCAAGTGAGACAGGAGAGGTCTGCTGCGCCATGTGGGTAGCTCCCTGGCCAGGGATTGAACTGGTGCTGCAGTGGCTGCCAGATAACTTCACAGTGCTGACTTAACTCCTTGCACCACCAGGGAGGCCATCTGCTTGGTCTTATTAACATTTCCTCTTACATGTTTTAATCTTTTCTTCCTTAATCTTAGGCTGCCCCTTCAAACCCAACTCAGTTATATCTGGGCATTGTGGAAAGTTCTTAGGGATTTGGAGGCATGCAGAATGAGGTGTCTTGGTTTTACTGTATAGAATATCCTGACCCCCAGCACCGTTATTTGTGTCTGTGTAAAATAGAGTATAAAGCTGGATAGGTGGAGTAGCATCTCAAGCAGTAGTTAATGAAGTATATACAAAAGGTGATGAAAATCACATCTAATCAAAAATCTTTTGTTATTTACTCACATGAGTACTAGATTAAATAGTACCTTTTCATTTCGGTGATGCTTTGGAAAAACACATCTTTCTTTATACCTAGATTCACACTTAATGAACTAAGGTGAGGTATAGTGCGCGCATGTCGCACTTCACTCTTGGGACTTTAGACTACATGGGAGACTGCAGATTTTTTTCTGTAAATCTCATCCACTTTGGAATATTCCCTTATTGAGTGAATGGTGGCATAGCCACTTGTAGAATTGTTTTTTCCTTCTCTTTCTCCCTGCCAATTGTGTGGTTTAAATCTTGTCACTTGAGTGTGTGATATGATTCCAATATATAATATATAGGTAACATTTTTGCAATGTGTCTTGTGAACCCAACTCTGTGTCCTTTTTGATTTTTTTAAAAAGACTTCATTATCCTTTCCTTTTAAAGACTTTATTATCTTGCCATATGAATTTTCATTTCCTATTTTACTGTTTTATAACATGGACTTTTAACTGTAATAAATAAAACTTGTTACTGGGTACTGTGCCAGGTGTTCTGTGAACATCTAATGCTCACCATAACCCTTGATGGTTAGTGCCATTGTTCTTGTTAAGGTGTTACCATCTTGCCAAGCTCACACAGGTAGTAAGAGTATTTTATTGATAATTTACCTGAATCGTACTCAAATGTGTGACAGAGAACTTATGTCAACCATTAAACTCTATTCTCATCACCTAGCCTAACATTTGACATACAGTAATCACTAAATAGATGTGCAAGATATTCTCTGACTTGTCTGCCCCTTTGCAACTTTCTCCCACCATTTGTGCACACACATACAGGCATATGTAAATATTTCCAGCATTCTTGCTTGGCCTCCTCATTATAATTTAAGCTCAGTGAGGGCTTGGACTTTCTCTTAATCACCAGGCCACTAATGCTTGAACATTAAACTGTGGTTCTGTTGAATGAATTAATGAACCAGGAATCTGTGGCTGTAGACTCAGATGAAACATTTAACTTTATTACTTGGCCTACTTGTTTCTTCAGTGTCCCCTCTTCCTGCCATCTACTTATTTTATTCCTTTAAGAAACATCTTATTTTAAATGCAGCTTGTAATTTTAAATACCAATAACACTTAATATTAAGCTCTTCAAGGGCAGGATTGCCTCTGCCATTAGATTTTGCTTTATTGTTTGCATTATGGTTCCTACTGTAGTTTTATATTGTTCTGAGAAGACATCCTAATATAACTGTTCTGACTGCAGTAAATGAATCTGGCCGTGGGTATCCTAGCAACCAGCATTGAATCTTTTTGTCTTAGTAAAAGATGCTAATGACCCTTACCCTCAGGGCTTTCTCCACTTGAGGAAAAAATAATGGTCAGAAACAGACCTTTTAAAACTAAAGCAATTTTTTCTATCAAGCAAAATGCTGGAGAATAACCTGCTGACTTAATAATTTTCACTGTTGCGTAACAAAAGTAGAATTTAGATAAACTAAATTATTCTGTGAGAAACTGAATCATTCATATCATGGAAAAGCTACTCATTCAATTGAGGAAGAGATATGTACACAATATTACAAGTAGGATGTTAATCTGTAATAGGAAATCCTTGTGTCCTACTACTCAATGAATGTGCAGTTAGATAATTTACTTTCTAAATGAGATTTATTAAGATATGTTTGCATTTTCTGCAGTAACAATTTAAAACAAACTTTAGCTTAGTAATTTGTTTCATCAGTGAAGTTTTGTCTATTAGCGATAGAAATGATTGAGATAGATTTTTAAAAGATTCCTATATTCTACTAACTTAAAAAATTATATTGCTGTATTTTCATGTTTGTAGATATTTTTCTATCTGGACTGAGTTGGTAATACTTTGCATGAAAGAAATTTCAAATTATGTTTGTATTTTAGTAAAATTCCTAATTAGGTGTTCTTCCAGTCTATAAAGACTTGTAAAAAATAGTCATACACTATTTTGTATGGTCTCCATGAATTCAAGCAAAATTAGAAGGAATTGTTAAATAAATGCAGATAACTTTGTACTATTATGCTTTTGAAAAGTTTTGAATCATAGACCATGAAATTAAATGTTAGTTGATTGATACATGTTCATGTGATATTTTGTAAGACGATTAAAGTACAATTACTGCACTTTTTGTATCTATAATCTTAATTCTTTACTTCCCACTAAAAATTCTTTACTTCCCAGTTAAATTCTGAAATATTTACTTAATTTTTCTTCAAAGAAATCATAGTGTGTAAAGAGTAGATAAGGTATACTAAATGGAAGGTCGGATATATATTGTTAGTTAAGCCGTTTATAAAAGGAACATTAGAAAATAATCCCCCATGTGGTGAGACTATAAAACAGAAAGAAGAACTAGGCCCAGGAGTCACAGTGGAAAATAATTTCCTTTGTGCATTTGTAAGAATTCTTTCATAGAATTTTTATTGACTCAAATGAGATGACTCAAATGGTGAGGGTTCTTCAGCTTTTTTTTTTTATCTACTGTACATTCAAATATATTTTATTATTTTTAAATATATTTTCATATCATTTTTTAGCTTTTAATTCATTTTCAGAAAATTGAGAAAACATTTTTGCATTTAGTATGTGATGATTTTAAGTGAGTTTATGTATACTTGTACTTAAAATGTTGGTTAATAAAGAACAAAAAGTAGTGAGGTATCAGAAACATCCTACAATGAGCTGGACTTCAGCTTACAAGTGAAAACAAAGCTTTATTTGGGGTTTTCA